GGGTTTTCCAACATCCCAAACCTTCATCGAGGCTGACGCTTTGGACACTTCGTCTACAAGGATTCGAGTTCAGCGTCAGGTATAGAAAGGGACAGTGCAACGTAGTACCAGATACCTTGTCATGTAGCCTAGCGACGACTACACCTCATCTGTTAGCCATGGTCAAATCTACCAGCTCTTCTGTAACTACATCTAATTTACAGGTAGACTGGTCTGACATTGCTACCACAGTCTAATGACCCAGAAATTCAGGATTTATGCAACAAGGCTGCCTGTCAACCCAGTCCTTGTCCTTCCAGAGTGTATTATGTCCTTGAGAATGGTTTCCTTTTTCGTAGTGTCCCAGATGGCCAGAAAGGACCGAAGCTCCAGCTTGTCTGCGAGGGGAGTTTCTCAAGCATGCCCATGACAATCCCTTAGGTGGACACCTGGGTCGGCTCAAAACATCACTACGACTGATGGAAATTGCTCACTGGCCAAGCTTAAGAGCTGACGCATGGAAATACTGTAAGGAACGTGAAACTTGTCTAAAGTTTCCATAATTTTCAAAGCTGTCAGGTTATTTGCAATCAACACCAGTGGTGGAACACGGGACATGCTGGGTGTGGATTTGATGGGCCCTTTCCCAAGAGCTGTAAACAAAATAAACATCTTTTAGTTGTATTTGATTACGGTTCAAAGTGGGTGGAGCTTTTCCATCGAGGATGACCAAAGCAACACAAATTGCCCGTATTTTAGTTGAGGAGATTTTTACAAGGTGGGGAACGCCTGTCTGTTTGGTATCGGACCGAGGAGCAGTTATCATCACACTTGTTAAGCCTTGTCTGCAAACAACGGGGAGTTATACAAGTCAAGTCTCCATTTATACAGCGCTTTAACAATACAGATGTTTCTCAGCAGCTTTACAGTGATAACAGGTGATTAAAGTAAGAGATTGTTTAGGCTTTACAGCAGCTCTAGAATAAAGTTATTGTCCAACTAAAGTTAGTTTTGATCGATTCACTTCCGTTGTAAAGATCATTAGTGATTAACTTAGGGGCCGCTAACACGACACCGCTCTACTGAGAACCCTTAATGCGATCCGGCAAGCCCCAAAAACACAAACCCGTGAAAATGCTGACGTGTTCGCACACATGCGAACAAATACATCTTGTATTTTTAATGCAAAACAAAGTCACACAAGTACACAACTGCATGAAATATATCACACTGTGAAAGAGGTTTTTGAATATTTTATTACAAAAATCGTACATATTGTACGTTTAAACAAAAAAAAAAGTCTTCACAACTCAAATATCACTCAAATCCCAGCAGAAAAAAAACACAAATTTATGATTTAAAGAGTTTCTCTCAATAAAAAAAACAAACAATTTCAGCACATGATCTTGGAAGTTCGACATGCATGAAGCTGATGGAGATCACAGAACAGCAGCTCGCGAGGAACAGTCATGTGACGGACCGACGCTCAGGGGTCGAGGCTGATCTGGGTGAAGCGGTACTGCGGGGACGAGGGTGTGTGTGTGTGTGTGTGTGTGTGTGTGTGTGTGCTCAGGTGTCGAGGCTGATCTGGGTGAAGCGGTACTGCGGGGACGAGGTGTGTGTGTGTGTGTGTGTGTGTGTGTGTGTGTGTGCTCAGGTGTCGAGGCTGATCTGGGTGAAGCGGTACTGCGGGGACGAGGGGTGTGTGTGTGTGTGTGTGTGTGTGTGTGTATGCGCTCAGGTGTCGAGGCTGATCTGGGTGAAGCGGTACTGCGGGGACGAGGTGTGTGTGTGTGTGTGTGTGTATGCGCTCAGGTGTCGAGGCTGATCTGGGTGAAGCGGTACTGCAGGGACGAGGTGTGTGTGTGTGTGTGTGTGTATGCGCTCAGGTGTCGAGGCTGATCTGGGTGAAGCGGTACTGCGGGGACGAGGGTGTGTGTGTGTGTGTGTGTATGCGCTCAGGTGTCGAGGCTGATCTGGGCGAAGCGGTACTGCGGGGACGAGGTGTGTGTGTGTGTGTGTGTGTGTGTGTGCTCAGGGGTCGAGGCTGATCTGGGTGAAGCGGTACTGCGGGGACGAGGGTGTGTGTGTGTGTGTGTGTGTGTGCTCAGGTGTCGAGGCTGATCTGGGTGAAGCGGTACTGCGGGGACGAGGGTGTGTGTGTGTGTGTGTGTGTGTATGCGCTCAGGTGTCGAGGCTGATCTGGGCGAAGCGGTACTGCGGGGACGAGGTGTGTGTGTGTGTGTGTGTGTGTGTGTATGCGCTCAGGTGTCGAGGCTGATCTGGGCGAAGCGGTACTGCGGGGACGAGGTGTGTGTGTGTGTGTGTGTGTATGCGCTCAGGTGTCGAGGCTGATCTGGGTGAAGCGGTACTGCAGGGACGAGGGGTGTGTGTGTGTGTGTGTGTGTGTGCTCAGGTGTCGAGGCTGATCTGGGTGAAGCGGTACTGCGGGGACGAGGGTGTGTGTGTGTGTGTGTGTGTGTGTGTGTGTGCTCAGGTGTCGAGGCTGATCTGGGCGAAGCGGTACTGCGGGGACGAGGTGTGTGTGTGTGTGTGTGTGTATGCGCTCAGGTGTCGAGGCTGATCTGGGTGAAGCGGTACTGCGGGGACGAGGGGTGTGTGTGTGTGTGTGTGTGTGTGCTCAGGTGTCGAGGCTGATCTGGGTGAAGCGGTACTGCGGGGACGAGGGTGTGTGTGTGTGTGTGTGTGTGTGTGTGTGTGCTCAGGTGTCGAGGCTGATCTGGGCGAAGCGGTACTGCGGGGACGAGGGTGTGTGTGTGTGTGTGTGTGTGTGTGTGTGTGTGCTCAGGTGTCGAGGCTGATCTGGGTGAAGCGGTACTGCGGGGACGAGGGTGTGTGTGTGTGTGTGTGTGTGTGTGTGTGTGTGCTCAGGTGTCGAGGCTGATCTGGGTGAAGCGGTACTGCGGGGACGAGGGGTGTGTGTGTGTGTGTGTGTGTGTGTGTGTATGCGCTCAGGTGTCGAGGCTGATCTGGGTGAAGCGGTACTGCGGGGACGAGGTGTGTGTGTGTGTGTGTGTGTATGCGCTCAGGTGTCGAGGCTGATCTGGGTGAAGCGGTACTGCAGGGACGAGGTGTGTGTGTGTGTGTGTGTGTATGCGCTCAGGTGTCGAGGCTGATCTGGGTGAAGCGGTACTGCGGGGACGAGGGTGTGTGTGTGTGTGTGTGTATGCGCTCAGGTGTCGAGGCTGATCTGGGCGAAGCGGTACTGCGGGGACGAGGTGTGTGTGTGTGTGTGTGTGTGTGTGTGTGCTCAGGGGTCGAGGCTGATCTGGGTGAAGCGGTACTGCGGGGACGAGGGTGTGTGTGTGTGTGTGTGTGTGTGCTCAGGTGTCGAGGCTGATCTGGGTGAAGCGGTACTGCGGGGACGAGGGTGTGTGTGTGTGTGTGTGTGTGTATGCGCTCAGGTGTCGAGGCTGATCTGGGCGAAGCGGTACTGCGGGGACGAGGTGTGTGTGTGTGTGTGTGTGTGTGTGTATGCGCTCAGGTGTCGAGGCTGATCTGGGCGAAGCGGTACTGCGGGGACGAGGTGTGTGTGTGTGTGTGTGTGTATGCGCTCAGGTGTCGAGGCTGATCTGGGTGAAGCGGTACTGCAGGGACGAGGGGTGTGTGTGTGTGTGTGTGTGTGTGCTCAGGTGTCGAGGCTGATCTGGGTGAAGCGGTACTGCGGGGACGAGGGTGTGTGTGTGTGTGTGTGTGTGTGTGTGTGCTCAGGTGTCGAGGCTGATCTGGGCGAAGCGGTACTGCGGGGACGAGGTGTGTGTGTGTGTGTGTGTGTATGCGCTCAGGTGTCGAGGCTGATCTGGGTGAAGCGGTACTGCGGGGACGAGGGTGTGTGTGTGTGTGTGTGTGTGTGCTCAGGTGTCGAGGCTGATCTGGGTGAAGCGGTACTGCGGGGACGAGGGTGTGTGTGTGTGTGTGTGTATGCGCTCAGGTGTCGAGGCTGATCTGGGCGAAGCGGTACTGCGGGGACGAGGTGTGTGTGTGTGTGTGTGTGTGTGTGTGTATGCGCTCAGGTGTCGAGGCTGATCTGGGTGAAGCGGTACTGCAGGGACGAGGGGTGTGTGTGTGTGTGTGTGTGTGTGTGCTCAGGTGTCGAGGCTGATCTGGGTGAAGCGGTACTGCGGGGACGAGGGTGTGTGTGTGTGTGTGTGTATGCGCTCAGGTGTCGAGGCTGATCTGGGCGAAGCGGTACTGCGGGGACGAGGTGTGTGTGTGTGTGTGTGTGTGTGTGTGTATGCGCTCAGGTGTCGAGGCTGATCTGGGCGAAGCGGTACTGCGGGGACGAGGTGTGTGTGTGTGTGTGTGTGTGTGTGTGTGTGTGTGTGTGTGTGTGTGCTCAGGTGTCGAGGCTGATCTGGGTGAAGCGGTACTGCGGGGACGAGGGTGTGTGTGTGTGTGTGTGTATGCGCTCAGGTGTCGAGGCTGATCTGGGCGAAGCGGTACTGCGGGGACGAGGTGTGTGTGTGTGTGTGTGTGTGTATGCGCTCAGGTGTCGAGGCTGATCTGGGTGAAGCGGTACTGCGGGGACGAGGGTGTGTGTGTGTGTGTGTGTGTGTGTGTATGCGCTCAGGTGTCGAGGCTGATCTGGGCGAAGCGGTACTGCGGGGACGAGGTGTGTGTGTGTGTGTGTGTGTGTGTGTGCTCAGGTTTAGAGGCTGATCTGGGCGAAGCGGTACTGCGGGGACGAGGTGTGTGTGTGTGTGTGTGTGTGTGTGTGTGTGTGCTCAGGTGTCGAGGCTGATCTGGGCGAAGCGGTACTGCAGGACCGATGCGTGTGTGTGTGTTTGTGTGTGTGTGTGTGTGTGTGTGCGCTCAGGTGTCGAGGCTGATCTGGGCGAAGCGGTACTGCAGGGACGAGGGGTGTGTGTGTGTGTGTGTGTGTGTGTGTGTGTGTGTGTGTGTGTGTGTGTGTGCTCAGGTGTCGAGGCTGATCTGGGCGAAGCGGTACTGCAGGGACGAGGTGTGTGTGTGTGTGTGTGTGCTCAGGTGTCGAGGCTGATCTGGGCGAAGCGGTACTGCAGGGACGAGGTGTGTGTGTGTGTGTGTGTGTGTGTGTGCTCAGGTGTCGAGGCTAATCTGGGCGAAGCGGTACTGCAGAGACGAGGGGTGTGTGTGTGTGTGTGTGTGTGTGTGTGCGTGCTCAGGTGTCGAGGCTGATCTGGGCGAAGCGGTACTGCAGGGACGAGGTGTGTGTGTGTGTGTGTGCGCTCAGGTGTCGAGGCTGATCTCGGCGAAGCGGTACTGCAGAGACGAGGGGTGTGTGTGTGTGTGTGTGCGTGCTCAGGTGTCGAGGCTAATCTGGGCGAAGCGGTACTGCAGGGACGAGGGGTTGCGCAGGAGCACGAGTCCGCGCTGGTCCTGTGGCTGCGTGAGGAGTGTGTGTGTGAGGCCGGTCAGGCTAATGAAGGCCAGAGCCTCTCCACAGCCAGAGGTCAGAGAGAAGTCGCCCTGCGTGACCCATCCCAGAACCGTCCGGCTGCAGTGGGACACGACCCGGGGAAGAGGAGGAGGACACACACCCCGCAGGACACGCTCCGGATCCGCAGGCTCACTCCGGGCCCTCAGGGGATCTGTGTGTCGGGGCTCCTGCGGGCCGCTGCTCTGTCCATCTGTACGCAGCAGCTGGAGGTCAGAGGTCGTGGGCACACACACCATGGCGTGCAGCGCCGGCTGGCCTTTACTCAGAAGACGCAGACGCACCCAGAGGAGAGACCGCCTGCACTCCTGCTGTAGAGCTGAGGCCGCCGCAGGGGTCAGCGGGGGGTCAGGGGTCACGCCCCGGCGGGTCAGCGGGGGGTCAGGGGTCACGCGCAGCCGGGTCAGAGGGGGGTCAGGGGTCACGCGCAGACGCAGTCGACGCCGGATCCATCCAGACAGCAGCCGCAGCTCCTTCAGACTCCTGCAACACACAATCAGATAAAATGTGATTAGCAGATTAACTGCTAAATTTAACCATCATAGAGTCAAAGTTTATAGTTTGGACGCGTTTTGTCTGGCCAATTTACACATTCAAACAATTTTAAACGTGGGAGAAGAGAAAAGAGAGAGAGAGAGAGGCGTGTTTCAGAGAGCGCTCAAACACCAAATTGATTCCTCTGCATTTCCTTTCCCTTGAATGGAGGTGATACCAATCTTTCACATGACTTTTGCATTTGAAAGTCACATGTCTAACATCTGTAAAACCAAATTTTTCCATCTTAAAAATATATCTAAATTACGCCATATGCTCTCATTGACGAATGTGGAACAGTTAGTTCATGCGTTCATGAGCTCAAGGCTAGATTACTGTAATGCTCTACTGGGTGGTTGGCCTGCACGCTTAACCCTCTGGGGTCTGAGGTGTTTTCGGGGTCCTTGAGATGTTTTGGCATGCTCTGACATTTGTGCTTTTTTCAGTTGCTTATAAACATATTAATGGCACAGGTGAAATTAAACTCTGTATAGCACACACAGGGCTACCATAATGTGTGAGCAACATGTATGTACATGTTTGTATTTTTGAGAGAATATTGTTTATGCGTGGTTATTGAAAAAACTAAAAAATAAAGTTTCTAATATAAGGCCACAAATAATATGCTAAATATCTGTCCACAAGACTTTTGACTAGTGGATGTTGTCGCCTAGAGTTTTTGCTTCAAATTGATCTGAAAAGCATTCTACCTAATCATTCTCATAAAACAATAGATTGTTTTAAATTGTGAAAAACATTTTTTTGTTTGCAAAGGCAATATGCGGATGGGCGGAACGGCCCAACCCCCTCATGAATAATTAGGCAGTTCTCACCTGAGCAGACTGCATACTAATGAGCCTTTCATTCAGGGGTGTCACACAAGAAAGAATGCAAGGACAATATATATATAAATAAATAAATATTTATATACACGCACACAAACACACACACACACACACATATATATATATATATATATATATATATACAAACAATCAAAATATAAATGAAAGCCAAAAGCACATTTTTAGTCACACCTTTTAGCCATCCACACATAAAAATAAACCAGTCGCATTTCAAAGTCGTACGCGAAATGACCGCCAGGTGGCGCAAAGGGACATTTTGCAAAACGTAAGTGGGGCTAATGTCTATTAACAGTAGCCTAAGGATGAAATACTACAAGTTAGGGTAATTTCCAAATAAGCCTACAACAAATTGTTGGTCATACAGATAAGATATAATCTTTTAAAACTGTAAAAGGCTAAAGTAGGCCTACACTCACAGGCTAAAGACAAAACGTTTTCTCGCTCATGTGAGAAACAAACGTTTGGGCATTTCTCAGTGAGAAAATGCATAGCCGAGCGGTAGAACTTACGGTTCGATCATCAAGATGACATGGGTTCAAATCCCGCACAAACATGGTCTGCTGTAAATTTTATATTTGTTATTGCAGAGAGATTTGTCTAGCTCTAAAACTCTGTTACGACTTTGCATCTGTATAATAATAGGCTACCAATAGTAATATATATATGGCTATATATATATTTTTTTTAATATAAAAAACCCCCCGATTTCTCACGCTGAAGTGTCAACCCGGTCGGTCAAATTCCTGAAAGATATAGTTTATCTACAGATCTACCTGTTGAGCCACTCGTGATCGACTAGTTATTATACCGCAAATTAGTTCAAATATCCCGTAATCTATCTAGAGCGAGCGTGCATGCGAGACAGATATTGTGCTCCAAACCGTGCGCGCGCATGGCAGAGAGGTCTGTTCCAACCTAGAGTTTTTAAAAACATGGTTTTAAGTAAAGTGTGATTTGCCAGGGGGGACTGGGATTTCCTTCTGGTCTAAACATCCCTGCTTCTGCTGAATTATTTTAATCCCCACACCCCTCCCTCCACAGCTAATCAATGATATAGGCTACTTCACCAATATCAAATATATAAAATAGAGATATTCAACAGGCACGTTTAAACGACAAACAATAAAATCAAAACCAGCGTTTCAGTTGTTCATTAGTTCCAGTGGCCTTAATGCATGCACGGCTTTTCAAAATTTCACAAAGCGTGTTGATGAGATTATTTTGAATGAAATATTGAAGTTTATAATTAAGTGTTCTGGCACACCACGCCGAGTGGCCCTATGCATTTTTCTAAAGTCGGGTTTTATTCTGGCATGGTGAGTTAGTGTTCGACAAACGCGGCGGCGCGTTCATTTAGATTAATTTATTTTTCTCATTATTACAGCTAAAATAACTTAATAGGCGACTCCGTATTTTTTGGTCATACAGATAAGAGTAGAGTAGCTTACATCGTTCAAAACTGTAAACTTGTATTCATATAGGCTAACGACAATCTGTCGTCTCGGTCTCCGGGAACTGCGCGTCACAAAAATGAACCGAAAGCCACTTCAGCTCAGTCACTATAAGAAATCGGCTATGTCTAAAGCCTTTAAATGTCTAAATATTTAGGCTAATAAATATTATCTGATTATGTAGGCTAATCCATATGAAAACGAGAGGTACAGAGGATCTACTCAAACGTAAGCGCTTCCCAATGAGAAAATGACAAGACAAGGGTGAAAATCTCGCTCTAATTAAATGTAGGCTAAATCGCCCTGAATTAAAATGTAAAAACAGATCAAATAATGTATTTGTTGAAATGTTGCGATATTGTTTCATTTAAGTTCATAATTATTCTATAAATGTTATTTAATTTAGCAGCATTACCACGAAGCACCGTGTTTCGATATTTATTTGAATAATACAAAATAAAATTAAAACTTAATTCACAAATTGCATGCCTGGTTGTAAGGATCCAAAGATCCCTGTAGACTTTATTGAGTTGAACATTTTGTTCATGACAACAAATTAACAAGCGTTTTTTTCAGATTATATTTAGTTTTGCTTGGAAAAAGCTGGCCCAAACCAGTTTTATTTCATCAATTATTGAAATAATGAAATATTTAGTAATAAACTTTTATGACAGAAATATCACTAGGCTACATGTAACTTAAATAATTTAATTCCTTCATTATCAACACTGTCTAGAATAGCGATTTAAGTGTGAATTGCGACTTCTCTTTGTGTTAAGTCAGCCTCAGACTCCGATAGCCTGTGGGGGGGTTGGAGGGACAGTCGCTGGACAAAGGTGTTAATGTTCCTCTTTCATATGGAGAGTGTCGGATAGCCAGCCTGATGAGCAGGCAAAATTATTGTAAGGATAAAAGAGATCCAGCGCGAGAGAGGCAAAGAAAAACGCATGTTTTTAATTTAATTATGTTTCTTTGGACAATTTTCGTTTTGTACTGTTTTAATTGTTTAATTTAGCTGTAATTTCTTTGGCAATACAAATTTAAAATGTCGCAAGAATAAGATTAGCCTAGTGTTTCTTATTTTGCATCGCAAAAGAAATAAACTCTAAACCCGATGCAACCCTGTTTTAAATTAAAAAAACTGTCCCGACACTATTTAAACCTTGAAATGTTCGAACTTGGTTTCAAACTTAAGTAATTTTAGTGTTCTTTTACATTACACAATAATTTAGCAGACTAAAGACGAGCTTCTTCATTTTCATTTTCTGATGCAATCGGCTGACAATCTTCCTTCATCAGTTTTTGTCGTTTGTGCAGCGGCTGCGGTTCTACAGGAATGTAGCAAATTTATGTTGTAATGATAATTAAACAAAACTCTTGACTTTAAATAAGTAAACAGATATAAACAGTTACCTATTTAAGCATCAATGTGGGAAAATATAAACGCTGTAGGACAACATCGGTTAACAACATGTAGGCCTATGCACATTGAGATTCGATCTCGGGTGGATTGAAGCTCCTCGAAGCTCGTGTTGTTGCGTTGATCACTGAGCTACCTTCTGTACGCTGTTAAAGTTGTAAAGCCTCATTGATGTAGCCTAAATGTTTTTATTGCAATGTTTTATGTTGAAATGTTTTCATTATTTATTCAATTACATTTCAGTAGCCTAATTTCAGTATTGTGATTATGAATTATTTTAACTACGTTTCACTTGTTGAATTCATCTGCTACCAGCTTTCAATCGCTCTGAATCAGCGCGGTGCGGCAGCAGATTACGCATTAGAGAGAATAAACCGGAATAAACGAACACTTTTCAGAGTCTATGATTGTAGCGCCTCTTAGCGGTAAAAGGCAGCAAATACACCACACATTTTACCGCCGCGGTGGAACAGCTGATGTGGGCATTGTCATGGCTTGCCTCGACATTTGCGTTTGAATAGCGCGCGTCCTCCGTGGGCGTGTCAGATTAACGCGTAATGAAGTGTAATGAGCTGGGAAAAAAATACTGACAGCACTCTCTTTTCATACAGATTGCATAAACTGAGAATATTTGTTTTTTATATAAATTACTTCATTTAAAAGAAGAGAATTCAAGCTTCATAAAGAAAAATCTCTCCTGCCTGTGTGACAAGTAATCGCGGAGTAACAGTTAATCTTAGGACGCGTTTCAGAATGGACTTCACTGACAGAGAGAACGCAGAACGCGCATCATGTTTGTTTTTCTTTATTTGGTGAAAAGCACAACACTTTGTTTTTATTGTGAGTATCCACAAAAAAAATAGAAACTTAACAGGATCTAATGATGTATCACACTTATATGTAAGATCAAAATCAACCGAGTATTTTGAGTCTCTTTTGCACTGATAAGAAAAAAAGCGAGACAATCGCGCCGGCGCGATAGCCGACCCCAGAGGGTTAATAAACAAACTCCAGCTGGTCCAAAACGCCGCAGCTCGAGTTCTTACCAGAATCAGGAAGTATGACCATATTAGCCCGGTTCTGTCAACACTGCATTGGCTGCCTATTAAACATCGTATACATTTTAAAATATTGCTGATTACTTACAAAGCACTAAATGGTTTAGCTCCCAGTATTTGAGCGAGCTCTTAACGCATTATAGTCCTTCACGTC